CTATAAAAAATTTTAGATGAAATTGTGGGAGGGGATAAAAACTTTATAAATTTCTTAAATTACAAAAAAAAAAAAAAAAAGTGACAGAACTTTCCTGCCACCCCAAAATAAAAAAAAACATTTAGTTTGGGTCTGTTACATGAAACTCCAACAAAGTATATTTACTTGTTTTCACAAACATTTGAACCGTCCATCTAAAGAAATGCAAAATGAACAAATGATCGACCTGAGGGTAGCCATGACGACAGGGCAGAGTCGCTGTAGTTCCTGCTCTTCTGGAAAACGACACACTTCACCTGCTCTGAGTACCTAGAAGACGCAAACGCCCTGACAATCTTTCAATTGTCAGGGCTCTGATTTAGGAATCTATGCACAAAAAATACAAGTAACAAAACATGTGAAGCAAACAAATACATATGTTACAGTAAAAATCATGGAAGTACATAAGAGGTCAAACAATTTAAATCTCAAGAACTCACCCTCAGAGCAACTGCATCCACCTCAGCCAGTCGGATAAATTCAGGCACGTCAGGATGTTTATGTCCCTGACAGTGATGGAGGTGAGGAGGTTTTAAACCCCCGTCCACATCCCTCCAGGTGGGAGGTGGATGGGGGGCGTCATTGTTTGACCCATTTCCACTGTTGATTTTTATTCCACTTCTCCATCTGAATCTGCCTCAAAAGATGAGCTGAAAGAAGAAATGGTGACATCCATGTGATCTCATCACTTCTGCAGCGGTTTCAGAGACACATGTCTGCTACAAGTCAAATGTCATTAACCTGCAGTACCTGCTAGATTCATTTGTTATGCAACAGTCATTCCTTCTTCTTCTGCTCCTTCTCTCTTAGGTGGGAAAAACGTACTCATAGTAGGTTTTTTAAAGTTAACTTCACCCAAAAAAGGCTAATTATTACTTTAGTGGATTCACAGGAAGGGGCTAAAGGCAGCCTGGCATCTTCATGGGAATTTCCAAAATAAAAGCTCCTAAATGCTGATCAACCTTAAAGTAAAGCGTAAGAAATGGTTCAGTAATATTTTACAGGAATCATAAATATCATTCAATACTACATCAGTTATCATGTACAAAGTTAGACATAATTCCTAACGTTCTGGAAGTTTTCAGTGTGTGATTATGCCACTGCAATATGAGAAATAAAATAATTTTCAAGATTGTTTTGGCACTAAAGCTGCTGATAAATGTGTTAAAATCCAAACAAACTCAGACTTTTTTAATAGAAGCACGTAGAAAGATGCAGGTATTATAGAACTGCTTTGAGTCATGTGCAAAAGACCAACACGTGGTCACAAACGGTGGGGAAGTTAATGAGAATTGTTTACTGCACTGTATGTATAAAAGTGTTTTATCATTGCTCACTGTAAATAAACTTTTTGCATATTAAAATTAGTTTATTTTTGCAGGATATGTCTATATATGATAGATAGATATGATAGATATATTTTCCTTCCTGCTAGATATATGATCTAGCAGGTTTTAATTCTTGAATAATTAAGAAAATAATCTCAACTATAAAATGGCTGAAAAGTTAAGGATGTAAAAAATGTATTTAGTACTAACAGATGGTGTGTAAACCTGGGGCCACTGGATCATATGCCTTTTTTGACAGGCATAGTATTTTCATTTTAGTCCTCTGTCTTCTGTCTCCTGATTGGTCCAGGACCGTTGTTTTGTCTCAGTTATGTTGGAGAATCATCACATAATAAGACACACATTCCTTAATTTCTGTCTAAATAACAGATGATTGAAAGAGACTTTCTGATCAAGTCATCATCATGTCCTCACCTTTTCTACAATCTGTTACAACCAGTAGCTCAGCAGCTGGAGCAGGTCTTCTTCTGTAATTGTTGGTCAACTCAAGTCATGTGACATGAGTTGACGGAGAAATGAGATAAAGAGAAAAGACAACAGAGTTAAAGAGAAAAATATGCAGCAGACAGAAACAGTTTCTAACTTTCAGCTCAACTCTGCAGTTATATTTGAAATGATTAGTCATGTTGTGCAGATATAAATGTCCTTACATGTTTTTTCCACAGGGTTCTCTTATCTTCCTGGTCATTGTGATGTAGAAATTAAATAAAGAGAAAAGACAACAGGGTTAACAAATAGAATATACATGGACAGAAGAAAGAACGATTTTTAAATTTGACCTCAATTTTATCCATATTTAAAATGAAAGTAAGTTTCCTTACTGTTTTTTTTCCACTGGGTTCTCTTATCTTCCTCCACCTGACTGGTGGTGTTGAAGGTGGAGGTTTACAGGCTGATCATCCAACCTGAGATGATCAGAGAATCAGAGATCTGAGAAGTTTGAATCTGGATCAGAGACAAGTTTTGGGTATTTTTTTAATGTCTCTTCTCTTTTTATGATCTTTCTGTGTTGCAACACATGAACATGTTATTGGCCATATAAACTATTTGTTTCATGAGATTAATAGTTTATCTACGTAAAACTTTACTCCATATGCTCTTATTTCCTTCCGTCCCATCCTGTTCTCTAGGGTCCCTCTGAATAAAAGCTCTTAATTAAATCCCTCAATCATAAATTCTATGTTCTCCCTTGTCTTCTAATTTTTTATTGTCCTGATGCTTTAATTTGGTTTCTGATACAATGTATTGTCAGGCAAGCATTCCTTACTTAATGTAAATTTTAACTCTATATGGTTGAACACTTTCTAAATTACTAATAGTGAATTTCTATTTCTATTTAGTAAAGCTGATGGTCCCCACCACCAGCAGGAGGCAAGCAGCATCATGTGAATGTAGAATGCAAAAACTTACAAGCAGTGTGAAAAACAAGGGATCCAGAAGGACAGGAACCACATGGACAACAATGAAAGGATCCAGCAATGAGCAGCTACAACCTGAAAGATTAAAAACTTGGAGAGTGGATTAGTAAAGGAACAGGATAGAATAATTTACTATATTGGAGAGCACCGTGTGGGGAAGAACCGCTATTACACCCTGCAACATGGGGGAGATGAGAGGAAAACGCAAAGATGAAAACCCGGTGCAAGGCTCGACCTAAGACTTCCTCAACCTGCCAGAATCCTTAACATCTAAAATGCTAAATCTAGTAGCGGGATAAAGAAAAGCCCCGGTGCAAGACACTACCAAAGGCTTCCTCAGGCTTGCTAGAAAGCCATTGGCTTTAATTAAAAAACCCTGAGAAATAATGATATCCTAATGTGACTTCCTAAAAGGTCTTCAGTTTTTACGGATCCCAATCTAATCAGAGTCACTTGACAAGACGTAGCGAGGTCTAAACCACACGTGTCTGGAACTCACTCTTTCTGTAATTCCACCAGATGTTGAAGGTGTTGGTTCCTCTTCTATGACCCCTTCAGACTCCACCCAGAAACAGAAGTCAGGGGATGACACAGTTGGATTTTCACAGTGTGTTGATGGCGAAGGACTGAAAACGCGGGGTAACAAAATGGGATCTTCACAGTGTGTCAATGGTGAGGGACTGAGGTTGGGAGAAGAGAAAAAAGGATCCTCATGCACCGTCCCTCGTAAGGGACTGAGGACAGGGGATGACAGACCAAGATCCTCACACAACGTCCTTGGGGAGGGACTGAGGACAAGGGATAACAGAATGGGATCTTCATATTCTGTCTTTTGGTAGGGAATGAACAGAGGGGTTGACGGAATGGGCTCGTCCTCCCATTCTTTACCATATCTCCATGCCAACCTTCTGCCGATTCTTTGAAGGACCTCGTCCCAACTGGCATTATCACTATACTTGGTCCTCTTGGCTGGGGGCTCCTCTTCAGCAACACTGTCCTTAGTCCTCTTGGTAGGGGGCTCCTCTTTAGCAACACTGTCCTTAGTCCTCTTGGAGGGGAGCTCATCATCAGCTTGGTTCTCCCTGAACCTCCTGGCAGAGGGCTCCTGTTTAGCATCATCATTATCCTTGGTCCTCTTTGTGGGGAGCTCCTCTTCAGCAACAGTGTCCCTAGTCCTCTTGGCTGGGGGCTGGTCTTCAGCATCACTGTCCTTTGTCCTCTTTCCATTAATGTCAGTCACAGATGTCACATGAGCCGCGTCCTCTTTCAAACCTATCTGATGACTAGGCTTTGGGTCGTCCTCCTTTGTAGCATCCACCATCTTTGTAGTTCTGTTGGCACAGCCAAAAGTCAAAGAAGCCACTAAATTTTTCCAGCCCCCGAGAGGTTGTGGCGAGGTACAGATTGGGCTGAAGTCCTCTGGATTGGGCTCTTGCTTTTTGTCAAGTCCAGATGTGAACATAAAGAGTGAAGAAAGCACGGTACCAAAACTAAGCTTTAATGTTGGGTCATCCTCCTTCGCAGCATCCACCTTCTTCGTTGTTATCCTGGCTCTGCCAAAAGTCAAAGAAGCCCCGTCCTCTTTCAAACCTTCCTGATGATGTTGTGAGGTACTGATAGGTTTGGAGTCCTGTGAATGCAAAATTGGCTCTTCCTCTTTGTCAAGTCCAAATGTGAATGTAAAGCTGGAAGGAAGCACAGTACCAAAACTAAGCTTTGATGATGGGTCATCCTCCTTCACAGCATCCACCTTCTGTGTAGTGTTCCTGGTGTGGCCGGAAGTCAAAGAAGACCCGTCCTCTTCCAAACCTACCTGATGATGTTGCGAGGTAGCGATGGGTCTGGACTTCTCTGGACGCAAAATAGGCTCTTCCTGTTTGTCAAGTCCAGATGTGAATTCAAGTGAAGTACAGGGAGCCGTGTCTTCTTGAGGCTTCTGAGCCACCCTAATGTCTTGTATGTATTTGAAATTTGGGGGAAGAATCTCAAGCAACTGTGACGCAACATCGGCACGGTCCATAGTTAGACTACTGTCAGTGGAGCACAGTTGATCAACCATCAAATTCACATGTTTCAATGACTGTTCAAGCACTCCTATGCCCCACAGGAATTTAATGTTTGGTTGAAGGACCTGGACAACCCGAAGTTGGGATTTAAAGTCATCCTGGTCTTCATTATCAACCTCATCTTTATCGGAGCTGGTAGTACAGTCATTACCTACCTCGTCTTCACTGGAGCTGGTAGTATTGCTACCACTGGAGCTGGTAGAACAGTCCATATACTGTGGAGGTGAACTATACCTCAACTCCTCTCCATGGTCTTCAGAAACAATGTCGGCTTCATTTAACCATACCTTACCATGATCCTTACCTTTGTCTGGATGTCCCTCCAACATTGGGGATCCATCTGCTGGAAGCGCCATAGTATGGCCTGTGAAGGAAAGAAACAAAGCAAAAAAAAAAAGCTATAATTCAGTATCTTGAAGTTCACAAAAGTCCAAAGCAATGTTTCAAGGGAACACTGAAATACCAACAATACAATAACCCAGGTTTGTGAATGTGTTTGTTTTTCTTAAATTAACAATATTATTGCTATACCAGATACAACAAGAACGGGAATTAAGAGATAAAATGTCTATATGCTAACACATACAGTAAGTCACTAAACAATTTAAATTAACTCACAAATTTGTTTCACCCCACAACTGCAAAAGAGACCTATTAAAGTTATATATTGTTAACGGCGGCCACGGATGGATTGTAAAGGTACGGGATAATAACCACTCCAGGAGGGAATAATGTAGATCTTCTTTTAATGAAGATAACCGAACCTGAGAACAACTGGATAGTTCATGTGCTCTAACGCCGATGCAGACTAACTTTACATGTCCACATCAGAGTCAGCGAGCATCCAGAACTAAAACAAAAACATTCCCCCCAGAACACACAACTGCTGCATGCAGAATTCTGTTAACGAAGTAAATGAACAGTAACGCACTTAAACTCAGATCAGTCTAGTCAGTATGGGAAATGATACAGAGACAAGCAGATGCATACAAGTACTACACTATTTCAAAGAAGTCATCAACATTTCAAATAATTGGACACCAAAGTAATCAACCCTGATGTTCTTAGATTAAATATCCCCATTTTCTTTTTCAGATCAATTCACCCATGTTTCCTGGCTATGCTTAAAATAAATAAATAAATAAATAAATAAATAAAAAGACATCAACATGTCCCTATCTTGAAAAAAATAATGAAACTAAACAATTAAAATATAGGCTATTATAAGGGTAAATACTATTTTTTTATGTTTTTAAAAAATAATACTAAATATTTAATGTATTTCATTTAGCGTATCCATGGAAACTGAGTGTTTATCACGGCATTTTTCAAAAAATAACTTTCAAAAACAAGCTAATTTTCCAGGAATTTGACGTTAATTTAACTAATTTGAATATAATTAAGTAAAATACATTTCTTAAATCATTATACCACATTTAAAAATTCCTGACATTTCCAGCGAAATTCAGTCAAGAATAAAGCTCATTGGAAAAGAAAGGTGCTATC